CCCTCCCCTCTCCCACCCTCTCTCTTCCCCTCTCTCACCTCCTTTTCCCAGTCTCCCCGAGTTCTGTTCAATAAAGAGAGTTTCTATTTTTGAACACACGTGTCCCTTATTTTGTACATCAGGAAGGGGGGCTAGGGAGGGGTAAGTGGAAGGAGGTGAGGGAGGAATGGGGTACGAGCCCCCAATGGGGAGGACTGGGGTGGCTCTGAAGGCTGCTCGGGGTGGAAGCTCTCCTGCAGCCCCTCGATTGCTCCCCCTCCCCCGGCAAGTGCAGCCGGGCTGATGGCCGAGTGCTGTGATGTGCCGAATGTGGGCACTCAGGGCACTCCAAGCCAGGACTGCTTTGCAAGCGGGGAACCCCTGAGAACTGTCTGTCCGGGGTGGGGGTCAGGTCCCTTTAAGCACAGCCCTCAGCTAGCCTGAGACAGGAGCTCCACGCTCTAAGTCCTATTCTGATGCCCTGCTGGCACTGCTTCCGGCCATCCTTAACCTCGGTTCAGAGTCCACTCTGTGTGGACATGCTAGTTCGAATTAGCAAAATGCTAATTTGAACTAGTTTTTAAGTCTGGATGCGCTAATTCGAATTAGCTTAGTTCGAATTAACTAATTTGAACTAAGTTAGTTCGAATTAGCGCTGTAGTGTAGACATACCCTAAGAGATTTACTTGCAGGGTGTGACTCAAGCTATTGGGTGTGGGCTGAACCTTTAAATTCAGTGCCCCTCTCGCTGAACAGGCAACAGTCATCCCCGGCAGAGACCCTTACCCCACCATCCCACACAAGGCTGAAACCCTGAGCTCTCCCCCACAGTCTGGAAGGCTCAGACAGGTAGGGACAGGGCATGGAGGGATCCACAAGTCACACTTTTAAGTATCAAAGAGCCGCAGTTTGACCACCCCTGTTCCAGAGGATGTCTCATTACATGATAAACAAATAATTAATACAAATATTTTTTGTCTATTACTTGTATGATATTAGTCTGTAGGAGCCACAACTGAGATCAGGACCCTTTCATTCATTCTGGACAAACAAGCACAGAGTAAGTGGCAGAGCCCACTCTGAGGAATGTTCAGCCAAAACAGACAAAGCAAAGAGAGTTGGGAAAAAGGAAGCAGAGTGACAGGTGCGACTGTTTGCATGTTTGGTCCAATATTTTGTTTTCTTAATTTTTTCAGGGTGTTGTTTGGAGGTAAGGGATTCGCAGTGTTGCGAAGTGATTTTCTCTTGACTCTCACAGTATTTGGTGTTTTTCAGAGAGCCACAGTTGGAATCAACACGTTGCATCAGAATCTCAGCTTTTCATTACAAATGCAAGTTTCTGG